GAGGCGTTCATAACCACATCCAAAAAAACGTAAATTAACGATTACTTCAATGAAACTACGAAAATTGAAAACACAGTAATGCATCAAAACAGAAAATCACAAAATAAATTCTGTAGCCCCGTAGCTGCAACAGAAATCAGATGTAAATTTGATCTTAGTTTTACTGTTTGGTGCCGACTACCATCTTTGTTACTGATGATTGCTTTATTGTTGTATATATGTTAGTTGCTCCATGTACGGCACTTTGTATGCAGTAATGGCTGTTTGAAAGTGCTCTATAAATACAGTTGAATTGAGTTAAATTGGAGGAGACTGGACTGTCTCAGAAGTGTTTATTTATTCCTTTGTTGTGTACTGTATTCACAAACGAGGAAATCACAAAATAAATTCTGTAGTGGGGCTATAGAATTTATTTTGTGATTTCCTCGCTTGATTTTCTGTTTTGATGCATGATTTTCAATTTTTGTAGTTTCATTGAAGGAATTGTTAATTTACCGAGGCAGCCATGAACGCCTCTCGAGTCAAACGGAAGAAGGCATGGAGACAGACAAAGACAAAGACGTACCAGTATTTGTTGACACTATGAAAACCATTAATAAAGTGTGCGTTTTAAAAAACAACACCACAGCTCTCCTTTTTTCGGAGCCGCAACAACAACTTATTTAATAAAGCAGCGACACAGTTCACTGAACCAACAGCAAGTTATAACATTGTAAGCATGTCTCCAGCAAGGAGCCATCTTGGACGACGTATTACCCTAACGACCATACACAAGGCGCACCGGATTTTAGGGCTCTTGGTGAGCTTTTAAGAAAATGGAAGACATTTTGGTGCGCCCTATAGTGCGGAAAATAAACCAACATAAAACCAAAACGTGTGTACTCACTGATCCCGACACGATAAGATTGGATTGCGGGTTGAAATTACAGCAGAACACATAGTTGCTGTGACCTTTCAGGGTCTTTAAGCATTTTCCCTGTGGACACAGAGAGGGGGAAGAATTATTACTGGCCCTCCAGTCCAGAACATTGACCCCCACCCAACACCATACGCATACTCGCGCACACAAACGCGAGCGCGCACACAGTAAATAAAAGGCAGAGCAGTCCAACTTACATCACATGGCTGATTCAGCAAGATATTCAGCCCCACCAGTAAAGCATTGTCTTGACACACTCTAAAAACTATTGCAAAGATCACCGTGAGCCCAAATGCGCACAGACCAGTAAATCATTGCGAGTGGAGGTTCGTAACAGCAATAAAGTATGATGTCTAATGCTCATATTAAGCCAAAATAATGAAATAACGCAGTGACAGGACGAAGCAGATTGGAACAATGTGAGTCAAACATTCCGTACATTCCCCAAATACAACCAAAGAGAACAATAGAAGAGAGAAAACTATTTCTGCAAGGTCACCACACACAAGCGCCAAAGGCCTGGGAATTTACCGAGCTGACGTCCCAGATTTTCAAGGTCTTATCATCTGATGCAGACACCAGGAGGTTGGAGTCAGACGACCAGGCCACATCTGATATGCCCTGTGGATTCAAAGGAAACTTGATGTGAGGAGGACCTCCTTAGACATGTTCATTTACCGGTCGTCGGGACCAATGGTCCCCAGATCAAAGTTGACAAATATATTTTTCAGGTTATCAAGCATCAACCTAATGAAGGAACGACATGCAGATTATGTCACACTTTAGCCGAGCAAATTGCAAGTCCCTGAAGTGGCAAATCAAGTCATGTTCCTCAAATCCCCGACATCTATCGAAAGAAGTAATACTTTGGACGATACCAAGATCTTTATAATAGATGTCCTGTATTTTAATTTTTTTTTTTTGTTTTTTCCCAAGATGGCGCCCGTGTAGGCAGCCTTCGGCAAGTGTTCTTCAAGAGCTTTGCTTTTTTGTTCTTTTTCGTTGTTTTTGTCTTTTTGTTTTGTCACATGTTGTTTGTTGTTTCGTCGTGTGGACCTGATGTGGACTGTTTTCAGCTGTTTCTTTTTTTTTTTTTTGGCCACGACGTTCGTCAAAGGAGAAGAATCTGTGCTTGGTGGTTGCGCCTTCTCGGCAGCACGCCTGCACCAGCACAGACTTTGATTGGGAGGAATGTCGGCGCCATTGACTGTCGGTGCTGCACAGCCCCGGGGCGCTTGTGTTTTTTGCGCCTGTAATGGGCAGCATTTTTCACAGCCCCGTTTTGTTCAGTGGAGATGTCGGCGCTGTTTGATTCTCTCCTCTTTCATCTCAAACTGCTTCAAACAACAAAGCGTGCGATGGAAAAGTGGTTAGGACTGCACGACTGTCCGTGTTTTATGTTAGGCCAAACAAAAAAGATAGTGTGTTTCCGGTAACAAGAAATTTCAGCATAGAGTCGGTAGGTTCCGCCCTCGGTTTTTACTCGGCCCGTGGTGTTCATCAAATAGTTCGCTTTATTTTTTCGATACATCAATGGATGCTATTTTCTTAAACATTACGGTGCGAGCACGCGACTGTAACACAGAAAACGCGGTTTAAACTGTCGTCGGAGATCGCGGCCGCCGCCATGTTTCAATGTTGTTGACAGACGACAGGGCAAACGACGCACGCGCTCAACGTGAATATCGTGAGAGTTTGCACCGATGTAAACCCTCTACACAAAAATGTAGAGGGTTGTTTGAAAAAAATGCCGACCATAAAGTTTTTTTTCGACGTAGAAATTCTCGGTCGGTCGGGTTACCGGAAACACGACTTTTTTTTCTACGCCTTATGTGTTGTGTTTATTATTTTACTTTATGTTAACTGTTTTGTTAAGCGCTTTGTTACAGCTACCGCTGTTGTGAAAGCGCTATATAAATCAGCATGTATAGTATCGTATTAAGTCGTCATGCAGTTTAATAACGTAGCTATAAAAACAATTAGTGAAATGTCTCATCAAATGCGGACTACAACCACAACAATAAATACTGTATGTCAAATTCTGGACCAAGGCTGAAAAGACGTTTAAAAACGTCTTTGGGAGTGAATGAGTTAATCTCTCGAAATATCCTGTGTGCTGAAGTGGAATTGCAACTACTTTGGCCAGGATATATCGAAATATATTATCTGTTCTCTGAGGGTTGAAAAGCAAATTCAGGGAAAAAAAATTGTGTCGTCATGCGGCACAAGGCACACGACTTACACTTTATTTACTGGAATTGTGATTTTACAAGGACACATTAGCCTAGGTTAGTGATAGGCTCTGGCCAGTGCCGACCTGTTTGAAAAGATTACTTACAAGTTTATGTCCTGATATGGTTTTCTCAAACTTGCCGTCGTAAGCTCCCCAGATTTTGATGAGTTTATCAGCAGCTGCAAGGATAAAAGTCAGTGGGTATCCACCAGTTGTTTTAGGTATGCAAGTGCAAAATAGTGAGGCGCATGAGTCAAGCTGGCTGAAGAACTTACAGGAGCTGGCGAGCCACTCTCCGCTGGGACTGAATTTGACAGAGGAGACAGCTTTCGTGTGGCCCGCTAGTGTAAACTTCAGTCCGTAGTTGGGCTTGGCAGGAGCTGACTGTAAGTCAACGTTCAACAGATAAATCGCCAAACCCGAAGAAAAAAAAATGCAGCCTGTTTATTTTCCTTCATGGTATTGACGTTTGGCCAACCTTGCTCTGAGTGGAAGATGCTGTCGCCAGTGGAGGTTTTGTGTCAGTCTCTGGCTTCTTGTCTTCTGTTGCCATGGCAATGGAGCAAGCATCAACTGTGCACTGTCAGTAGCGTAGCGGAGTGGCAGATGTCATTACAGCATCAACTTAAGTTCCTCACTCAAGGATAACATGGTTCATCGCCGTTAAGCTAATACCCATCAAAGTGTGTGTGTGTGTGTGTGTGTGTGTGTGTGTGTGTGTGTGTATGTGTGTGTGTGGTTTAATGCCTATTAAATCCAAAATATGGTGGCGATTGTTTTTATATTTTCAGTTGGGCAAGAGTGCAGATATGCTCACGATTGGTCATGGTCATCGTTTTCTGGCATGAACGACGTGAAGCTTTTCTACATCCAACGTTTCAGATTGTCCAGTGGAATTACCGATTCTCAAAACAGCATTCCGTATTCGTCTGGGGTACATGTTGCTCTTGTAGCCACAGATTCAACTTCTTCTAGTTGTTAATATAACAGCGATGAGTGCAACAAGTTTGCAAGCTGCACAGGCCACGATTTAAATGCTACTGGCGTGATAATTCTTTAAAAACCCCAAAATAAAATGTTTCAAAAAAAAAAAAACAGCATCAGAACCGAAAACGTAAGGTAGTGCCCCCATATAGATATATGGCATTGCACCACGGAGAAGCAATTTTGGACCGACGGGAAATGTTGCTGCACGCAAAATCAAATAGAATTGTTCAAATTAAAACCATGCACGGAAACGGAAATACCATCGAATAAATCCAACCATTCCCTCACTTGCAGCTCGGATAGTCAGGCTAACATGCTATGCTATAGGTACAACCTCTCTACGATGTTACTACAGGTTTGGCATAGAAACGACAACGTTGCCACTTTCGAGCTTTCCGAATTTACACTTCGATGCAAGAACTGCGAGCTGCTCGTGGTCATGGAGCCGATTGCTGTCGATGCACTCACGCTGTTGACAAACTAAGTTAGCCACCAAGGAGCGGCCCTCGTTGCACACAATGAGGCGTCGTACGTGAATCGATACTCACAGGGATTTATGGAGTATGGGAGTCTGGTTTCTGCTCCTCATAAAACGCCGATAACAATATGTGCACGTATTTGAGCGTTAAGACATTTATGTAGGGCCGAACTGACTCACTGCTGGACGTTTGCGACCAACGATGTAAGAGGACAAGCGGGGAATCTGCTATTGCAGTGGTGTCTACAGCGCATGCGCGATTACTTCACGAGCTACGAAGCGCCAGGAGGGACTAAAAGAGTAGAGATGTGGTTCGAAGGGATATACTGTAATTATGTTAATTTTGATGTCTTTTTCACGTCTTATTTGTAACAGTTTCTGCATAAGGATTTTCTTGGAGAGATTTGGCGTGGTCAGTGATCAAAATATTACAAGACATTTAGCTTGTTGTATGTCATCGTTCATCTTCTGTAATCTGGCTGGTTGTTTGGGACCCGATTGAAGACCAAAACAGCCATGCAATGCTAAACTTGTGTTTGTCTGTATGGAAGTAAAATTCTAAATTCTGAGGAACCCTGTCAATGTCCTAAGAGGTCAGGTAAGTATCACTCTGACATTTTTATCTCAACTCCACAAAAATATGAACAAGATCCATCATTCAAAACATTTTTATTCATGTTTTTGTTCATTGTTGTGCCTTTGCATGTCATTGTCATGACTCATCAACGTTACACAAAGAGTGGCTCAAGTTAACAATTGACAAACATCCTATTTAGCTACTAATTACTTTGTATTACATGAACATTGTAAAGATGCACATGTTGCTTCTTGACAGGCTTGCTAAGGTTAAGCCTGTTTTGATTCAGTAATTTCATTCACTTTGTGAATATCTGGCATCCCACAGGGATACATTGCTTTGTCTTGTTTTTGGGGTGTGCGCATAACAGATTAAGTTTTATTTCGAACATCTTCACACCCTTCCATAATGAGTTTTGGAACTCATGTTAAAATCCAGAGGATGTGGATTGAACACATTGTTGTTCAACAATACCGTAAAATACTAAAACATATTTGCATTTTTTTTACACATTTAAATATATTTACATACTTTAAATAACATTCAGCCGTTGAGGACACAGTAATACAAAATGGCTGCCCGACAGCACCCACAACCAATGATGGAGCATAAGTTGACTAGGCGCATCCCAGCATATCTAAGACTTTGTCTGCAACCAATGATGGAGCATAAGTTGACTAGGCGCATCCCAGCATATGTAAGACTTTGTCTGCAATACGCATTTTTTCAGACTCGTCACTGGTTTGTGGAGTTGGAGTTTCTCCTGGAGAACCTGGCTCTGGAACAGACAAAAACAGAAAGGCATCATCCCATTTGAACTTTGATACCAGCAGGTAGCCTTTTTGTATTTTAGCGAGTCAAATGTGGTAGGCTAACCATGATTCGGAGAGATAAGAAACCCACTTGGAGGCAATTATAAATAAGATGGCTCAGTATTAACAGGGTGTGAGTGATTTGAGAATTGCACACCTGCAATATTGGAGGCTGTTGTAACACTGCGCCTCCTTCTCTTGTTGCCCTGTACACAAAAAAAGATTGACTTAATTGTCCATGAGCAAATGCATTTTGAAAAGTCAGAGTTTGGACTCACGTAGTTATCACTGCTGGACCACTCTGGATACATCTGAGAATGGAGTTTTTTCTCAGCATCGGCGATCTTGTAATATTTAGCCTGTCCCTCGTCTGTCAGCAGCTTCCACTGTGGGCATTTTAATAAAACAACACATAACTATGCTGATAAATATATTGAGGATAGAGGAGAGTGGAGCAAGCACGCTCACCATGTGCCCCAGGACAGTGTTGACAGAAGCACTGTCTTTTAAATTCATCTGTGCCTTTACATGTTGTCTCTGCTCCTTCAGAAAACACATAAAGGCGTTGGGTGGCTTCTTGACATATGGCTGGTCTGCATCTCGGATGCGCCGGCGCCGTCGTTTTCTTCTGGTGTACAAAAATAAAACAACAAAGAACTCTGGTTACCGTTGTGCGAAACTGGGAGGTAAGAACTTTGGTAAAGGTAGAATTGAAAGACTGTTGAAAAAGTCGCACATGTTATCAGTTTGGGCGGGACGCTGGGCAACTGGTTAGCACGTCCGCCTCACAGTGCAAAAGACAGGGGTTCGATTCCTGTGTAGAGTTCTCACCGTGCTTGCATGGGTTTTCTCTGGGTGTTCCGGTTTCCTCCCCCATTCCATAAATATGCATTCACAGCTTAACTAAACACTCTGAATTGATCCCAAAGTGTGAGCTTGAATGGTGGTTTGTCTATGTCTGCCTTGCAAGCGGCGCCGTTTGCCAAAACACGTTTTTAAAGGGTACCCAAGCCCAAGATGTGAAAACTTTGTATTTTACATGCGCATGTCTTCTTTATCTGAAGTTTACTTAAACCTACTTACTAAAATATCGCATCAACTGTCTTCCAGCGGCCTCCATTTTCATGTTAAGTCTGACAACGTTGGTAGAATACTCAATGACGGCAGACTACATACTGGTCAGCTCCACTTATCTACCCAGCCATTGGTGGACACGCTCACATGCAATTGTTCTTCACATCGTTCAGTATTGTTCAGGTTGGTATTCCACCGTGCACTGTTGAACCCAAGGTCAACATAACACCATCTTGACAGCATGGTCAATCGCTTCATAAAAAAAAAGGTAATTGATGCTGTTAGTGATCAAAATTGGAAAACACATCCCCAGTTGCCAGCACTGGCGGCTAGCAAACCAGGCTGGCTGTGGGCAGATGGCTTTTGACATCTGAAGGACTACTTTTCAAAGGCTGGCAATGGGCGAGAATGAATCTGCCCTCACCTTGAGGCTGACAGCTAGTGATCCATTTTTAACAAGCCAGGCTTACTCAAATGTGCTGTAAACAAGGCAATCCGCTATTGCAGTTGTGACGTTTTGCCCCGTCACTAGCGGATGGCGATTTTAAAGGGCACATCAAGTGAAACTTTTTCTTTAAAAATACATACAGTATGTTCTATTGCCGCCACTAGTCTACACATGACATCGATTCATATTGTGTTTGTGGAATTTGAATTGAGCCGGAGGACCCGGAGAAAATGCAAACTCCACACAGGGAGGCCGGAGCTGGAATTGAACCTGGTACCTCTGCACTGTGAAGTCGACGTGCTAACCACTCAACGACCGGGCCGCCTGATTTTTTATTTTATTTTGTTTTTTTACAGATTCTACCCATATAAAGCATTTCTACAATGATTAAAAAAATAAAGATAGAGACGCTAATTGAAGATATTTTTCATTAATTTTGGAATTTTCCTTCTTGAAAAAAAACATATTTGTTTTTGAGCAAGATGACCGAAAAATGTCTTTTGCATTTTTAAAATGAAATCAATCTATTAGGATCGTGAGACACTCCGCACATGCAAAAGGCATTATACCCTTGGATCCATGTACTCTTCATGTATTTGGTAATGCATTTTGTCAGCCCCCGTCAAATGTATATGTTTAGGTTTGCAACTGTTCACTGAGCCGTAGGCACTGTGATGTCATGCTCAGCCCGCATTGTTTTATTGTTCTTGTTCCTGATTGTAAAGTGTCCTTGGGTGTTTTGAAAGGCGCTTCTAAATAAAATGTATTATTATTATTATTATTATTATTATTGTTCAGTCGACAGCAAGTGGCAAAATGGTTACCCACTAAGATGAAAAAAATGGGAGGATTTTGTTGCTTACTTAATATTCCATAAATGCAACATTTGTCAGACTGCCATGTTTAAACTAGTAGGGGTGCATAGAACATACAGTATAATTGTAAAGAATATTTTTGACTTGACTTCCTCTTTAATGAACATGGTGCCCTCCTGAAGTTGATCAATTCTTACTCCACAAACACAGTATTCATCAGTCGTGTTTTGAGTCATGCGGTCAGTCAAATGTATTCTTTAAAAAAACACCAAAAAAAGTGTTGAGTTTAATTCCCCTTTAAATCGTGACCCATCACATCAAAATACAAAGCTTTTATAGCCCTTCCGCCATGGATCACCTATAACAAACTGGATCGACTCACTCGACCATAAGTTGCAATCTTCACCAAACAGTGATTTTTATTTGTTTTTTTTAATCAGCCCACTGCTACCAGTCATGAGACATGTACCTAAAGAAAGTCTTACTTTGTACATGTTATTGGGGGAGCAGCAAAGACAGGGGGGCCAGCAATGTGATAGACCACCCCTCCATTCCTATATGGATAAAGGAGACAAACAATTTGATACAAGGAAAACGTATTTGGAAACGGCTTTGATGCTGTCTGTCCGCTTGAAAAGTCGCACGATACAAGGAAAACGTATTTGGAAACGGCTTTGATGTCTGTCCGCTTGAAAAGTCGCATATACTGTATGATCATGATTCTTACTTTGAGTTGGAACTCATCGGAGCGGCGTAGACAGAAGGGCCTGACATCGGAAACATGTCTCCTCCATTCCTATAATGATTTCAGTGGCATGTTTTGTTTGAAACGTGATGTGAATATCTTGATCATGGTTTCTATGTATGTTACTTACAGCATCCCAGGAGGACACCAGTTGGAGTTTTCGGGAAGTGACCGTCCAGGTAGAGAGAGATTCTGGTTGTGCGAATGTACAGAAAGTTAGTCATCAAATGTCCACAAGGTGGCAGCATGGTCCCCTTCAGTTCAGATCAAATAAGCTTTTTCCAGTGGAATACTGTACCTCAAACATTATCGTTTTACATATTTTAAAACTATCAAAATGAAGAATAATGCACATGTACACCGGAAAGAAAATGGTGTGTTGAATTTACTCAATTTTATTTCGAAAGTGGTTGCACAAAACAAAATCATCTGGCTCCAGATACTTTTTAAGTAGATGGACAGTCTACTCTTGTATGTGGATCGATTTTTTTTCATGCAACCACTTGGCAAATTAAAATGGAGTAAATCCAACAAAACTATTTTCAGTGTACAAACGACCTCTTGACTAACTGTTGCGAGACCCTTTACATCCAGCTACAAACATGTTCGTATTTATTATGCACTCACCTGAGAGCCACCTGCCTGACTTTTGATGTCAAATGCGTGCATGCCATATGGATTTGTCTGTGGTCCTGCCATCACCTGACCTGCCTGCACAAAAGCTGAACTGGGCGGGACGCACCCACCATAGCCTCTGTTGTGACCAGTGACCAGCTGACAGTGGGTGTCAAACCTCAGCCACGAAGGCACAGGAGGTGGACAGCTTGCCGTGGCACACACCATGCCGCTGACCACCTCCAGGAGAGTGGAAACAACTTCCTCCCACTTGAGTTCCGCAACAACTTTCTCAAATTCTGCCCTGAGCTGCTCCATACTGTCCGAACTCGCTTCTTCTGACCCTACTCCACACCTCTCCTCTCCCTCCTGAAGAATGACAACAGCTGAAGACTATTGGGCCCCTGTGACACACATTAATAGGAAGCTGCTTTTCAGACATTTTTAAGGGTCACATCAGAGATCACAGATAATCCTGGGTTTGAGTATTGAGCAGACAATGGTGATTTGGGAGTCAGAAAAAAACCCCAAATGCAATGTCATTGATGCAATTAAAATGGTTTGCCCTTTTCAGAACACGGAACCACATTTGGTAACTTAAAAACTAAGACAAAATAGACACAATATGCCTCATAATAAGGCAATAGGGGCATGCAAGCCAAAAAGTCATTTTTTATTAATACGCCTGTTTATAACATTGACAATAGTTTTGTTTGTTTGTTTGTATGTTGGGGGGTTAATTCAATACAATTAACGCCTGTTTATAACATTGACAATAGTTTTGTTTGTATGTTGGGGGGTTAATTCAATACAAATGTTTTCTGAAATTCAACTGTTATTTGTGGATGAGTTTGAGGAATGAAGATATTTTCACATTATTATTATTATTATTATTAACATTTTAATATTTGCAGTTTCATTATTACATTCTTTATTTTTTTTCACCGTGAACATAATAATTAAAATAGGAGCAGGGTTCTGAGACACCCCAATATAATGATTAACAAATTACCAACATTGTCTTTAGTAATTTATCTCAAACCTGGTCTGACCCATATCACAATAATATAAATGCCATACGCCAAAGAGTGACGTGACATCAAGGTAAAGTACAGAGAGAACTCTCCAGAAGCCGCGTTGCTTAGCTACAGAGAGCAAACGCTGATCTCTCGACTATTGAAATTAAGACGTGGGAAATAAAACGGAATGCTAAATGTTAATGCGGTGAGGAAATTGCACTGTAAATTATGATATTATAGTATTGCTACGTTTACTTAGCGGACAGCTGACTCTTTCTAATACGTGAAAATAAGTCGAGCTACTTACAACTGCGATCAACGTCGCATCATTTCTCCCAACTTGAAGTTGTCCCCAATGCGTCGCAGTTGTTCAACATGTGAGGATTTTTAGTGTCTCGGCTCACACCAGACTGCCGTTTAAAGTGCTCCTAAAATTATGAGACACTAGACAGAAGAAAAACTGTCATATGAAAGCCTAAACGTATTACATAGAATTATGCGTTGCGGGGCAACCACACACCACGAGGGTTTCCGTTTCCTGTTTTTTTTTTTAATTTAAATAATGGAATTATTTGAGCTCCGTTTTAACATCGGTGTATTGATAGAGCGCATTAACCTTTTCGAACTGGGGATGACTTTCGCGTGTGTTGATGATAAAAGCAATTCATTTTTGAACAACATTGACCAAGTGTGTATCGGTCACTTTTTATATGAGAATGCAACGATTTTAAACGGCATTCTAAAATTGTCGGAGTGAATACTGTCGGATTCACAGATTAGAGCCGTGTCCGGCAACCCAAAATGTCGAAAGAGCCATATTGGACCCCAAAAAACAAATATGTCTATAGAGCCACGAAAAAATTAAAAGCCTTATACAAGCCTTATATTGAAGGCAACACATGCTGTATGTATCAATATTATCTATATTAGCCTACTATCAAAATGACTAAGTTGACTACAAATACACAATGAGCCTTCATGATGAAACGTTGTTTTTTTTCCCCCTGCAGTACATCTGGAGAGCAGGGATGCACAAGCTTTTTTGACCTAAGGTCAACAACCAAACTCCCGCGATCGACCCGTGACCGCACGCGCGCGCATACGCACGCAATTTGCGCACGCATGTAGTCATGAGCAACAGCCATAACATGCTGGATGTATCAATATTAGCTATATTAGCCTACTATCAAAATGACTATGTTGGCTACAAATACACAATGAGCCTTCATGATTAAAAGTTGTTTTTTTAATTAATTAATTTTTTTTTACCTGCAGTACATCCGGAGAGCAGGAGTGCACAACCTTTTTGACCGAAGGTCTACTTTTCGAACAACCAAACTCGCGATCGACCCGTTAAGGCACACGCGCTTATAGCCACGCACACGTGCGCCTACCCACGCAATTTACGCACACGTGTCGTAATGACAACAGCCATAACGGCCGCTAAAATGAAAGAGACATGTGACGCACTTTTGCAGCGTGGGTCATATATATCGTAGCTCACGTGTACTGTTTAAAAATGCTTCTCTCGGTCCTCCAGATTCTCATTCTTTGCCAGTACCCTCGGTGAATTGTACATGAAACGTTGTTTTTTTTTTTTTTTTTTTTACAGCCACCTGACTGACATCCCGCCCTGCTCATAGAAACGTGTGTCATGGGCTATGACGCAAATCCTCGTTGACAGAAATATTGAAATGTAATATTTATTCTACACATTTTTACAGCATTGGAAAATGTTAAGAATGTTTGTGTCATGTTTGTCCTCTTACAGAAAACAAAACATGTAAATACAAAAAAATGTATTTCCCTCCACCATTTTTTTCCATTTTCAAACATTTTTGAAAAAGCTCCAGGGAGCCACGAGGACTGCGCTAAAGAGCCGCATGAGGCTCTTGAGGTTGTCGACCCCCGGATTAGAGGATGGGGCGAAGGGGGTTTGAGCCTCCGAGACTATAGGAGGCGCCATAAAACTTTCGATGTGTAACGCTTCGGTGATATGAAGAAGAGGCAGAAACGACAATAAAATGTCTCGTTACTCAGTAGATCCAAACTTAAGTATTTTTTTTTTCCATCTATCATGCCCGTTGTCTGTGAAATGAGATAACTGCTGCCTCATCCTGGCTTCGAGGTAATGTCCTCAAAAATATTTAGTTTCACTTTGAAAGTGACTTTCCCACTATCGCTGCTCTCCTCCAGCGGGAGAAACACGTGTCGTAATATACAGGTAGACGATGACTGAGTGTTCTGGTTTTTGTTTCCTACTTCAGACTTACAGTATTAATTATAAAATATCAAGCCGTATCGGAGGCGTCCTGGACATTGTACACTGTAGCCCAGCTATGTTAACAATGTAGCCAGGCAAGGTTCAATGCATCACTTGTGTTCTCGTTTTCCCAGTGCCTCTTGCTGAATGGTAAATGTGGACTCCCATTTGTGACGTTAACGTTATCTGCGAGGCCCAGGTGAATACTAATAAAGTATCCCTGTTATCCAGGGTGCCTACGTGTGTGAGCGACGTTTCCCATGTTACCCTTCTAATGTAACAACAAACACGACCAAAATCTGGAACGCCTTTCAGGAGGACTCGTAATGTAGCAACGTCGCTCAAGGTTAGAAAACTGCAACCAACTGTCACCAAATTCACATGCATACCCCTTTATATGCCCACATCAATCAAATCTAAAAACAATCGCCTGAATATTTTGGATATTACCGGCGTTGAGTGTTTTCCTCTTCATTAAAAAAATAAATAAATAAACAAAGCTTGATGTCATAAAACTGATCAACCTTGGCCAAAATCTGAGCGTCTCCACCTATACCCACATCAATCTCTGAAAACATCAAAATGACTGTACCAAAGTTTTATATTTGATGGGCATGAAACGTTTTCGTCTCACATCACTTCATCTTAATGAGGACAATACTTGATGGCCATAAAATTCCAAATATTGAGGCGATCTTTTTGGTCTTTTCAGAGATTGGTGTAGGCGTAGGTAGATATGTGCACATGAACGTTAGTGACAATTGGTCCTAGTTTTTAATCAGGCACATCTCTGGTTAAAAAAAGGCTTAATGCCCATAAAATTCAAAATAATGTGGCAATTGTTTTGATATTTTCAGAGGCTGACATGGGCATACGTACAGATGTGCATGCAAATTTTGGTGAGGATTCATAGCAGTTTTCTGACCGCAAGCAACGGGAAGCTTTTTCACACACACAAGTGTTTTAGACAGTCCCCATTTCAGTACAGGTATAATGTAGTGCGGTCTACACCCCCGTCAACAACTACAGTGCTAAAAACACACATAAATGATATAGATCATGGCTTTTTTTTTTTTGAAATTAAGTTTTTCAAAAACTCAACTCAACTGTATTTATAGAGCACTTTCAAACAGCCATCGCTGCATACAAAGTGCTGTACATGGAGCAGTTAACTTATACAACAAACAGTAAAGCAAATCAGGAACAAAAACGGTAGAAAGCACTGAACAGCAAAACCAAGAACAAATCTACGTCTTGCTGAGTCAAATGCCAAAGAAGTGAGTTTTGAGGCGGGTTTTAAAGATGGGCAGCGAGGAGGCTTGCCGAATGTTCAGTGGGAGGTCATTCCAGAGAGAGGGACCAGCAACAGAAAAGGCTCGATCCCCTCTGAGCCTCAGTTTAGTTTTTGGTACTTCTAATAATGTCTGGTCCGCAGACCTGAGGCGCCGGGCAGGTGTGTAGGGGCGGATGAGCTCAGAGAGGTAAGGTGGCGCAAGGTCATTTAGAGATTTGAAAACAAATAATAGGAAACATTGCATTGAATCTCATTATATTGCACCAGTTGGGTGGTGGCGATTTAAAAAAAAAAGTATTTTATATGACCTCGTAAATATTTGTATAGATGACTGCTGACCTTTGTTGGTCATCTCAATTAAGTTTATTTATCAGTCACATTGCCTTAAATATTTTTTTTTCATTCCTATAGGTTCTACTATGTGGCCCGACGTAGAACAATGCCAAAAAAAATGGCTGCAGTTTTCTTTCATCATACAGAAGACAGCAGCTGTAAAATTGGCAAAAGATAATATAAACCAGCAGTGGCTGTTTTAAAGCTTTTTGTGCTCTTGCACTGACGATCATGCCATCGGACACGGAGGCACCTGCGCCTCACCTAGAGAACCCCCCACCGCCTGAGGTCACAAATGTCCACAATTTAGGCCGGAGGACCAACCAGCTTCAGTTCATGAGGAGTGTTGTGGTCAAGGCTCTGTGGAGGCACCATTTTGCTTGGCCTTTTTACCATCCTGTCGATGCTGTGGCTCTTAAATTACCAGTGAGTACTATGTACGGGCAGTGGGATTGTAAATAAATTGCTCCATCTGAGGTCTAATAATTTTGATAGCACAACGTTAATGTAATAATGTCATTATTTTTGGATTGTAAGGTAACTTTTTTATAGCATAAAAATAGGACTGTTTTTTTTCTTCTTAGATCTGTGTCAGTCATGTTTGTGTTGTTGTTGTGTGCCGATAGCATGATAGTTAAATGAAGGCAATGCCTTTGTGATATTTAAGATGTTTCAGGGTTAGAATCCATATTTACTGCAGCTGTCAAATTGGATCATATCGAAAAAGTCGCTGTATCAACTCCATCTTTGTTTTGTTTTGTCTTTGCTTGTTGGTCGCAAAGGTACAACTGCTGCATAATTTCTTATAATGCCACTTCCAGTTGTGCCTCAGTAATCAGTTCCACTAATTTTAAATGTATATTTTAAATGACAAGTCCAAGTCAATGATAGAACTTGGAATGAACCGAAGTGTAGTCAAATTTCTACAATGCAAAATTTCCAATTACTAAAATGTGCATACTTGTAATTGCAATTGTATCCTTTTTAAATGAAACCTCGATGAAGTCTGAACACAATTAGGATTTTTGTCTTTGACAGTATTGCAAATGTTTGTGTAATCAACTGCTAAAATGTTGCAATGTGCCCAAACAAAAAAGACAAAACTTACATCACTGATGCAACACTTTCTATTTCTATGAATTAGGATTACCATACCATAATAAGCAACCCTATGGACTTGGGAACCATCAAACAACGACTGGAGAACAACTACTATTGGAGTGCCACCGAATGTTTGCAGGACTTCAACACCATGTTCACCAACTGCTACATTTATAACAAGGTCAGCGAGACGCATCTTGGAGCTCGCTGTTGAGCTGCTCCGACGCACGCCCTCACTCTATCCACTCCTCTAGCCCACAGATGATATTGTGCTGATGGCTCTGGCCTTGGAAAAGATTTATTTGCAAAAAGTTGCACATATGCCTCAGAAAGAAGTGGAGCTGTTGCCTCATCCAGCCCAAGGGAAAAGCAAAAAGAAAAGTTCAGGTAATGGATTCTCTTTACGCTTACCAGATTATTGCACTGGCGGGAACTGTGAGAGGTGATTTTACTTAAGGCATGCCCGTGGAATAAACTCAATGTAG